GTAATCTCATTATTCTATTAAAATTATTTTATTAGAGTAATCCATTCTATTAAAATTATTATTATTATCTTAAAATAACCCACTACTATTCAATTAAATTATCAATTATTCAATTAAATTAATCCGTTGTTCTGTTAAAGTCCCTGAATTGTTTGAATTCTAATTGATTCCCAACTTCCCTCTGGAGCTGTGCTGCCTCTGGAAGGAATTGCAGGAATTGCAGCTTGGAGCCACCAGGTGCCAGCTAAATCCGGGATTAACATCCCTGAAAACTGGGAAAAACCCCGGATACCCCGTCCTGCCCCATCCATCCCAGCTGCTCCCTGCACAGCCACTGCTCTGGGCTGCCGTGGGGGTTATTCCCTGGGTTTATTCCCTGGGTTTATTCCCTGGATTTATTCCCTGGTTTGGTCATTCCCTGGGTTTATTCCCTGGTGTCATTCCCTGGATTTATTCCCTGGATTTATTCCCTGGTTTGGTCATTCCCTGGTTTTATTCCCTGGGTTTATTCCTGGTGTCATTCCCTGGTTTGGTCATTCCCTGGTTTCATTCCCTGACTCTGGGCTGGTTCGGGACATCATTCCCTGTCCCCATTCCCTGTTACCATTCCCGTTTCCATTCCCCATTCCCGTTCCCATTCCTGTTTCCCCATCCCCATTCCCTTTCCCACTCTGTTTCCCATTCCCATCCCTGTCCCCATTCCTGTTTCCCCATTTTCCCATCCCCATTCCCATTTTCCCATTCCCTGTTCCCACTCTCACTCCCATTTCCCATCCCCATTCCCGTTTCCCATCCCCGTTCCCGTTTCCCGTTCCCGCTCTCACTCCCATTTCCTGTTCCCGTTCCCGCTCTCACTCCCGTTTCCTGTTTCCCTTCCCCGTTCCCATCTCACTGCCATTTCCCATTCCCATTCCCGTTTCCCATCTCACTGCTGTTTCCCGTTCCCATTCCCGTTTCCCGCTCTCCCTCCCGTTTCCCGTTTCCCATCCCCATTCCCGTTCCCATTCCCGTTTCCCGCTCTCACTCCCGTTTCCCATCCCCATTCCCGTTCCCATTCCCATCTCCCGTTTCCCATCCCCATTCCCGTTCCCATTCCCGTTCCCATCTCACTCCCGTTTCCCATCCCCATCCCCGTTCCCATCTCACTGCCGTTTCCCATTCCTGTTTCCCGCTCTCACTCCCGTTTCCCACTCCCGTTTCCCATTCCCGTTCCCGTTCCCATCTCACTCCCGTTTCCCATCCCCATCCCCGTTCCCGCCTCACTCCCGTTTCCCATCCCCGTTCCCGTTCCCGCCTCACTCCCGTTTCCCATCCCCATCCCCGTTCCCGCCTCACTCCCGTTTCCCATCCCCGCCGCGGCGCCCGGCACCGGCGTGGCCCCCGGCAGCGGCGGCGCCCCGATGGCGGCGGCGGCGGCGGGGGCCGCGCTCCTCACGCACTCCGCCTTCTGGGACCCCACGGTCAGCGGCGACTGGGACAGCGAGCGGCCCAGCCCGGCCTGCCTGCTGCGGATCAAACGGTGAGCGGAGCGGCGGCGGCGGCGGCGCGGGGCCCGGGCACGGAGCGCGGCGCGGGCGTTCGGCTCGGCCCCGCGGCCGGTAACGGGCCCTGCCGGCGTCCCGGGACACGCACGGGGACAGCGCCGGGCCCTGCCGGCGTCCCGGGACACGCACGGGGACAGCGCCGGTCCTTCCCGGTGTCCCGGGGCTCTCCCGGGCTCAGCCCCGGTGCCCTGGAGGGTCCCGGACAGGTTTGGGTTGGGAGGGTCCTTGGGCAGGGACCCTTCGCTGTGTCCCAGGGAATTCCTGCCGGGATCCCCTGGAATTCCCAGCCCGGATCCCCTGGAATTCCTGCCGGGATCCCCTGGAATTCCTGCCGGGATCCCCTGGAATTCCTGCCTGGATCCCCTGGAATTCCCAGCCCGGATCTCCTGGAATTCCTGCCAGGATCCCCTGGAATTCCTGCCGGGATCCCCTGCCCAGGTTGGGGTCAGGAGCGTTCCCCTCCTGTGGGGACGAGCAGCCGGGGGAATTCACGGCAGGAATTTCGTGGGATTTTCATTTTTATTGGCGTTCCTGGTGCTGGAGGTGGGGAAATTCTGGGGGAAATTCCTGGGGGGATTTCAGGGGGGATTCCCAAGGATTCCAGGGGGAATTCCAGCCAGGATTCCAGGGGGAATTCCTGAGAATTGCAGCCCCGATTCCCGAGGATTCCAGGTGGGATTCCTGAGAATTCCAGCCAGGATTCCAGGGGGGATTCCTGAGAATTCCAGCCAGAATTCCAGGGGGGATTCCTGAGAATTCCAGCCAGGATTCCAGGGGGGATTCCTGAGAATTGCAGCCCCGATTCCCGAGGATTCCAGGTGGGATTCCTGAGAATTCCAGCCAGGATTCCAGGGGGGATTCCTGAGAATTCCAGCCAGAATTCCAGGGGGGATTCCTGAGAATTCCAGCCAGGATTCCAGGGGGGATTCCTGAGAATTGCAGCTCCGATTCCCGAGGATTCCAGGGGGGATTCCTGAGAATTCCAGCCCCGATTCCCGAGGATTCCAGGGGGGATTCCTGAGAATTCCAGCCCCGATTCCCGAGGATTCCGGGCGTGCTCTGGCGTTCCTGGGCTGCTGGAGGGGCTCACGCAGAGCCGGGCCCAAACCTCCCGGATCCCGGCTTAAATCCCGTCCCCCGCCGCCCCCCGGGCCGATCCCGGCTCATTCCCGTTCTTTCCCTTCTTTTCCAGGGATATCATGTCCATCTACAAGGAGCCGCCCCCGGGGATGTTCGTGGTGCCTGACCCCCACGACATGACCAAGGTGAGCAGCTTGGGGTTCCCAAATCCCGGCTCTGGGGGCGTTCCCGGCTGGAATATCCCCTCAGTGCCCTGGGAACAGCAGCTTGGGGTCCCCCTGTCCCCAAATCCGGGCTCTGGGAGCATTCCCGGCTGGAATATCCCCTGAGTGCCCTGGGAACAGCAAGGCTCTGGCTTCCCTGGGAATGCTGGAGGGTTTGGGAATGCTGGAGCCATGGAGGGTTTGGGAATGCCGAAGAGTTCGGGAATGCCGGAGGGTTTGGGAATGCCAGAGCCATGGAGGGTCTGGGAGCACCAGAGATGTTCGGGATTCGGGAGGATTCGGGAATGCTGGAGGGTTTGGGAGCGTCAGAGGGTTTGGGAATGCTGGAGCCGTGCAGGGTCTGGGAATGCCGCAGGGTTTGGGAACGCCGCAGGGTTTGGGAACGCCACAGGGTTTAGGAACGCCGCAGGGTCTGGGAACGCTGCAGGGTCTGGAACGCCGCAGGGTCTGGGAACGCTGCAGGGTCTGGAACGCCGCAGGGTCTGGGAACGCTGCAGGGTCTGGGAATGCTGGAGGGTCTGGGAATGCTGGAGCTGTGCAGGGTCTGGGAACGCCGCAGGGTTTGGGAACGCCGCAGGGTTTGGGATGCTGCAGGGTTTGGGAATGCCACAGGGTCTGGGAACGCCGCAGGGTTTGGGAATGC